GGGGAATTCTGGGAGTTGAAGTCCACTCATCTTAAAGTGGCCAAGTTTGGACAACACTGATGTACAGTAACTGAAGAACTTGGTTAGAGTTGGGCACTTGTTTTCTTTCTCTCTTTCAGCAGCACTCTCTTGACCCAGTTAAAATTCAGACCATTCAGATGTTAGCTACAACATTATTTCTGAGGGAACAATATCCCTTAATCTTGCCACCCACAACGATTTGTTCTGTATCTGAGAAATTACCGTACTCCTTCAAACCATAACATCAAACACACATAATTCTGAGAGTAAATACGTTAATGCTGAGCATGGGATACCACACCATTGTGAAGGCTACTTACCATTAAAAGGGACTTCCCATTTTTACAAGTTTGTGCCAAATGAGACCGAAAATGATTTTATATTCAGAAACACCGCTATTCCACACAACACAATAGCTTTACAATTTTCAACAAGCCCATTCAAAAGCCCCTAGTGAGCTTTATAATTGATTCTCGTGTTTAAGACTATCTTGTAGCTTGATATTTAGTATGCACTGTAAAAAAAAACCACTCTTAAATAGATTTATTTGGGGGGAAAAAAAACTATACTTCATTACCTGCCATGTTAAGTACAGTAGAAGCAGAAAACAAGCAACCAGCTGGCTTATAAGCTCCTTAATAAGGTCCTGCATTGTGATTCTCTTGTGTACTAAACAGTGTGGCTTTTAAGCACAGCATGCAAACCGGTAACCTTGCTACATGGGTTTGTAGCAGAGAACCCCTCTAATGTTCATATGATTGGCTGTAATGGTCTGCTGTATTACAGTAAAGCTGTGGTTCCCTTTACCTAAACCTCTACAGTTATACAAGAAAGTATGTAATAAACAAATAACAATGCATAAGAAGTTAGACTGCATATAATATTCCAAGTAGCCTACAGGTTTTAGGCTACAGAGCCTAAAACACAATACAGAGAAGTTGGCAGCTTGTCCCCCGACATCAAATAGGTGTCAGCCTTGAACGTCTCTGACCTTGTGATCATACATACATACCCCAAACCTATCATAACAAATGTTAAACCTTTAGATTACCAAAGGCCTCAGTTCTTCCATCCATAACAAATGGAGGTGAGAATGGGATGGAGCGAAAGAATGTCGTTTCCTGTAAAATTTATACTGGCATCTAAAATTTTAGATACCGTTCCTAAACGAACTGGAGACTCTGGAAAAAAAATTGAAGGGATATCAGCAGGAAATCAAAAGTGCTTCTCATGATAGCTTCTGTATACAGGAAATAAAATCAATGCAAGAAATCAGCAGAGTCATATATCTGCTACGGCGTGCAGCAGTACCTATAGAATAAGCAAATTTGAGATTGAAGAGCTTCTGTCCTCTGCTGAGGATTGATATGTATCTCTTTCAGGACTTTTTTTTTAAAAAGCAGATCAAATCCAAATCACCGAACAGTGAAAGGTATGAACCCTCCCACTTCCTATCCCAATCTGACTCATCACCTTTCTCAACAGGAGCCTTTCTTCGGATCAAGTGACTTGTATTTTTCTATGTGGCCTTTCCTGGTCTAGTGCTGCTCAGATGTGCCAGACAGC